CTGATTGGCCAAAATGGCAAGAGGCAATTCAATCGGAATTGAAGTCACTGGCTAAAAGAGAGGTCTTTGGATCAGTAGTCCAAACACCTGCTGGTATAAAACCAGTTTGTCATAAATGGGTTTTTGTGCGAAAAAGGAATGATAAAAATGAAGTTGAAAGATACAAAGCTCGCCTTGTTGCACAAGGATTCTCACAACGACCTGGAGTCGATTTTGATGAAACATATTCACCTGTTATGGATGCCATAACATTTCGANTATCCATACCGGGTATAATAAGCTTATCCATTCAGTACTCCGTTATGGATAAATATTGCTCTCAGTTGAAGATTATCCATATCTAGTACAGTAGCAGCTTACACAGCAGCTTGTAGCAGCAGCTTACACAGCAGCTTGTAGTAGCAGCTTACACAANACTGTATGGTTCACTTGATAATGAAATTTATATGAAAATCCCTGAAGGATTTAAAATGCTTGAAGCAAAATCTCAGGAAATGTATTCAATCAGATTATAAAGATCTTTGTACGGTTTAAAGCAATCTGGGCGCATGTGGTATAATCGTCTTAGTGAATATTTGCTGAAAGAAGGTTACATAAATGATGTTATTTGTCCATGTATTTTTATAAAGAAAATGNGAAGATTATCCATATCTAGTACAGTAGCAGCTTACACAGCAGCTTGTAGCAGCAGCTTACACAGCAGCTTGTAGTAGCAGCTTACACAACAGCTTCCTTTCTTCTATAAATAGAAGAGATTTCAGTTCATTATGTACATCAGTTTGAATTCGATTAATATAACAGTTTCTCTCTATACTTGTCTTTACTTTACAGCCCTTATTTTATAACAATTGCTGAATTATTATTGATAATCTTTTACTATTCTTCCTTTTGAAGTTTTGAATAAACTATTACCCATAAATTAAGAAAGAATTGAAATTTGAATAAAGTTATACACCATATGCTGGGTACTTATTAAGTTGAAAAAAATATATCTTCGGGCCGTAAAAAGTGTCTTGGGCTATATGAAAATGTTTTCTTAGACTTGGCCTAACCATCACTTAGAGACATTTTAACCACCTTCTTTGCATTCTCCGATGCCGAGTGGGCTAGTTGTCCCGATAGCAGCAGACAGTCTTATACCTTTCTTTGAGATTTAAAAAAATATCTTTTCGTATGAAATGTTATTATTCGTTGATATATCTAAAGCTTATGCCGTAGAAGCTGACATGAGGCTATTGGCCTTTTTTCTGCATCTTCCCTCGTAGAATAGCATCTTTTACTATAAGAAAAGACTTTCTCGGTGGAACCAAAAAAAAAAATTGAGCTCTTTTTTTTGGTTGACCTTTAGCCACGCACAACGGCTATGCACATGTGTCTCAGTGACATATGTTTTAGGGAAAACCTGTTATCACCGAGTTTCGAAATTTTTTTTGGTTATTAAAAAAAAAAAAAGAATACAACAAAATGAATGTACTATAATGTGAAGACATGAGATATGGAATGAGAGAAATCATAGGATATTTGAAAAGCAGGAAACTTGAAGAGTTAGCTAGGAACATAGCATGCATATGTAATGTTAGAGCAACAAAGCATAATAGGCAGCTTATACAAAAATTTCAGTTCTGATTGTAAATAATAGTAGAAAGGAGGCGAGTATAGTAGATATATGTATAGTTTGGAGAGATAGAGCATATACGACAGTAGGCTGAGTTGTAAGCCAACTGTGGATTTGTAAAGCTTCAATGGTGATTAACGGAAATTTCTAATTACCAAAAAAAATAAGAACTATAATGTGAAGAGGGTTCGACACTTGAATATCTTGGTCAATTTTCACTCTTTAACATGGAATAACATTCATTCTTTAGCTCAATGTCATTTCTCTCGCTTCAGAGTGGTGCCTCTTCTCATTCTAACATCAAACTATTATATTTTCTAAATCCTACTGTACAAAGCTGGATATCCTGCTTTACGAAACTGTGTAAGCAAAAATAGGGATTAGTCCATCACTCTCCTCGCTTCCTCATGCACAAAGTGAGATCAACGAAAATATCATCTCTACGGGGAATTATGACACCACCAAATCTAATGATCAAAGCCAAATTCTTCCTCAGTTTGACTGAGCAAATCTTGAGCCACTAGATCCAAAGTCGCTAAAGCCTCTAGCAGCATTTATGCCAAATGCTGGTAAAGGCTCATATTATTACTGCTAAAAATAATACTTTTAGCAGTATTTATTTAGCGGCCACTAAAACTGCTTGAGAAATGTCCTAGCCCTATACATTTATTATTATTTTCTGCACAAAAAAAAATTTCGTAACAATCGTAAATATTACCATAACAAACAAAATAATCAATACACCTTAAGAGCTCCTAGTTCCACAACCATCTTCTAGGAAGAGTATCGTGAATGTTATGCCTCTAACTGAGAACTAATTACATGTAATCTGGTGAATCAACCTAAGACATCTATGAGCTTTCCTAGACATTTTTACTAACTCTATTCTCTCTATAGTTTCCTTCTTTATCTGTCACTACTATCTCTCTCTCATATATATATATATATATATTCCCTTGAATATTTTCCAATTCCTTGCCCTCCATTTGTGACATATCATATCACTCCATATAGATGTCACCACTTCCTTTTTGAATTTCTTCCGTTGTCTTCTGCAATAAAAAATTTAAATGAATATATACAAGAATTTGAAGTAAAACATCCATGTAAAAAAGCAAAAGTATTTCATTAAATCCACAACAATAAAACAACTTTCAATTCATGTATCTCATTCACTAAAAAATAAATCCTATGTCATTTCAAGTCTAAGAGTCTCTTCAAGTCATGATCTTGGCCAGTCTCATCTGGTGATCGGAAGACCTTCTGGTCGTCATTCACCTCTACTGTGACATGTTGTCTCCTGATTTATGATCAACGAAATCAGTAGGTTAGCTTCAAATTTTGCTTTGGCTATTAAGAAGAATATTGCTTCTCTCCGTGATGAAAGTCTTTACATTCTAAATTTATGAACAATCATAGTCTATGACCGGAAACAATAAAATAAAATGAGTATTAACATGATGACTAGGTAATAAGATATAGTACTTTTACTAAGTCATAACATTCCATAGATTAGCATAAAGATCATCCACTGGTCTAGCTACAAACGCACGAATACATGTCTATGCCTGTTTACAAAGATCAACAGGACAAGTAGATAAATATGCTAACCACTTCTGCCCCCCTCCCCACCCAGAAAAACAAATTTTGGGTGAGAAATGGGAGGAAAAAAAATCCTTTTTCCGTTTCTTTTCTCACCCAATATAGAAAAGGAAAAGGTCTCACTGCAGCAATCAACCAGAACAATGCTAGTTAAGGGAATAAGACAATCACAAAGAAGCAGCACATCAACATGACAAAAAGATTAAACCATACCAAAAAAGAAAAAATCCAAGTTAAAGATAACAAGTGATGGATCGATTAAAAGGTACTACAATTTCTACTATTTTAACCTCTGTAGCGAATACATTTTTTTTCCTTCTTAAAAAATTATGCGCTGGTTTCAAACATATCACTGACCATATGATTAATATAATCATGTACCACATATGTTTAGACTAAAGAAACTTTATCTATATAATATTCAGTTACCTTCCATCAAGCGAGGAATGGATGTAATTAACTCAAATGGATATGTACACCGAGGGCATGTTGGTTCCTTTTTGTAGGCAGCCCACTGAAGGTGCAAGTCACACTGAATTCCAAAGTAAGGAGATACATATAGCTGTCAGGACTTTCCCATTATTACAAAAAAATAAACTTGCAAAAGATGCCAAAGCGTAGAGAGTAATGCACGTATTAGAAGATCATTACAGCATCTACTAAGAAGGTGATGATCATTTTAAAAATTACTGATCTGTTGCAGAACACAACAATCAACAAAAATATATGAAGATCAAGTTACACATATTTGAAAGGTGAACAGTACTGCAGCTTGAAGCGGCATCCTCCGCTCTACAGGTTGACGTAAAACTACAATCCCTATAACCAAGAGAACTCAGTTGATACAACAAAGCTCACATGAAAGGTTAAACAGCAGATATACCTGGCTAACTGCTAAAGAAGATAGATGGAGAAAAAGACACTCTTTCATCAATTCATACAACAATTGAAAAATAAAGAGAAGGGTAGCCTAGCTTTCAGGTAAAGCCAAATAGCCTTGTCATGCTCAAAAATACAAATCCACTGTCGTCCGTTATAAAGTTGACAGAGAAATTAGATACAGCAATACCACAATATATATAATTAAGAACCATAGACTGACTTCATTTACGGTACACTCATGAGCCAATTAAAAAAAAAGCATAAAGCAACATCAAGGATTAATTTCACTCGCCTGCAACTGGTATGCATCTTCACATACTGGTCATTGTCAAAGTTCACATAATGAAGGGCAGCAACCTGTCATTTTTTTTATGAAGTAAGCAGCTTCATTGATGCCGTCGAGAAGATGCAAAATGTAGTACAAAAGAGAATACAAAATAAACTGAGTTAGCTCCATTACATGAGAGGCTATTCTAAGACCAGGAAGCTAACAAAGTTCAAGAAATTGTCGGGGGAATCTACATGGGACATATTGTGCCAACTAAAAAGATACATAAACAGAACAACCTGCCATATTAACACAGCAACCAAGACATATACTGAATCGCTTTGGATCAGTTTAATTGTTAAAAGAAGCTCTACTAGAGATCTTTTCATAATATACCTCTGTCAGACATGAAGAAGTGCGTGGACCAGCCATGGTTGTGTATGCCCAAGTTGACTCTAATTTAACTCATAAATATAGAAATTAAAACTTATCAAAACCGAGTGTCTGAAAATGATGTCTCAACTTTTAAGGATTTAAAGAACTATTTTAAAAACCCCATACCCATTCATCTTATTTTTAAAGTGACAATTCTATCAAACACCGAATAGGTTTTTAAATATATCCTCTAGAAGCAAACACCAACTAGTTTAGTATAAATAAATGAATTAGGATCAAAGCAAATCACAAGTAACATAGTAAAACAAATGAATCAAAATGAACCTAGTCTCCTTGGCGTATATGGTAAAGTTGTTACCATGTAACCAGGAGGTCACGGGTTCAAGCCGTGAAAACAGCCTCTTGCAGAAACGCAGGGTAAGGCTGCGTATAATAGACTCTTGTGGTTCGGCCCTTTCCTAAACCCCGCGCATGGCGGGAGCTTAGTGAACCGGGCTGCCCTAGTATCCTATGATAATAAAATGAGAACAAAAAAAACATTGTAAAATTTTGGGAAAACAAAACAGAAAAGTGCTTACTTCAAGGCAACAATTGATGAAGAGACGGATGCTGGTTGAAGCAAGTATCGGCAACAAAGAGCATGAGCAAAATCAGATACCTATTCAGTCATAAAGAGAAAATAAAATCAGTCGCGACTTTCAGCAAATTAATGTTGTACAACGAATTTCCTCTAAATTGATGTTCAATCAGCCGCGAGTTTCAGCAAATTGATTTTGTACAACGAATTTCCTCTAAATTGATGTTCAATCAGCCGCGAGTTTCAGCAAATTGATTTTGTACAACGAATTTCCCAAATTGATGTTCAATTAGCCGCGACTTTCAGCAAATTGATTTTGCACAACGAATTTCTCCTAAATTGATGTTCAATCAGCCGCGAGTTTCAGCAAATTGATTTTGCACAACGAATTTCTCCTAAATTGATGTTCAATCAGCTGCGCGTTTCAGCACAAAGTTTCTCTAGATACCTTGATCTTCAGAATCAACGTACTTAGATAGGGTTTGGGAAAGTTCGATGAAGAGTCAACAGAAATACAAGTTATGGGGCGGGATGAGTTGGAGATAGGAAGGGAAATGAAAACGTATAGGGTTTGCTTTGGAGGGAAGATTAAAAACAAAAGTTGGCTCTTTTACTGGCCTTCTTTATTTAATTGTTAGTGAAACTATACCTTTTCTAGGCCTATATATATATTCCTTAAGACAGTGTTCATAATGAATACCCTTAAGAAATCTCTTGCAGTGAGAGAATTTGGTCATATTATGTATATAAGCAATGGAGAACAAGGCTAAATGGCGACAACAACGCCTTATAAGTTTATTAATCCTGGTAAACCTACACCTTGGAATTCAGGAGAGGTCGGGCAAAATTAAGAGTCAGGCATTTTACTTGGACGACTCTCTGAGATTTTTCACCTTTTAGAGGCATAGTTTCTGCCCGTTTGGGTGACTTTTAATCCCCACTGCAACTGCATGAGTTTCTCTCTTGCACAGACGGAGGTTGAGTAGATCCAATTCCCGTTTGTGTTAGTCAGGGGGACATAGTCAATCATTTTGGTAACCAAGAGAGAGAAGAGGTGACTAAATGACTAGCATCAAGTCATCCATCAGGAGGAAAAGGTGAAGGAATCAGGGGCTTTGACAGAGAACTTAGTACATCAACCTAAGCTTAACTATGCTTTATTAAACAGTTTGAGCATTACTTTCATTTGACAACTTGTCCAATATCTAAGCTCATACTCTAATCCTAACTTTGCTTCATATGTCAACCCCACAAAGCATGAACACAAAATAGATTGGGAAGTGACCGCCATATACAAGATCACATGTTCTGACGAATGCTTTCTCAAGTCAATACTGAATAGCTTGATAAAAAAAATAAGGAGGATTTTAGATGGTTTACCATCAAACTAGTACATTAACCTTAGTTGGACCTTAAGAAGAATATAGATGGATTTCATAGTACTGTGGCAGGTGTTTACCCAAAATGTCTTACTTGATAACATATTGACGAACACTAAACACAGTTATATCATCTTTTATTGAATATTTCATGACCAATCTCGAAAGAAGAATCAATTATTTGATCTTATAGTAGATGTTAGAGTGCAAAAATACCTGAAAATGATTAGATACCAGTAAAAGCCTATGTTACGGGAATGAAGATCTTGTACGGATTCCTCAAAATACTATATGAAGCAAAAAAGCTAGGCGTATAGTACTGGAGATTTACATGTATCCATATCAGATACTTACACATATGAGTCCATGTAATATAGGTGGCAAATGATATGGCACTTATATAATTTCTCATAGTAAGAGTGCAATAGCATCTAATTTCCAAGACAAAGAATAGAAGAAAACATTCAAAATAAGAAGCGATTTACCTCAGTAAGCTTGCCTCTAAGGCAAAAGCAGTGTTCGAATCTCAGTTTTCCTATTTCCCCAAATTGCATCTTTTCCAGAGGGAAAAACATAAACTTGCGCCCTAGACATAATATAGATGATAAAATCAAGGGAAAGAGTATTCACATTTTACTCTCTGGGTGAAACTCTGGGAAAAAATATTCAAGTCTTATTTTTCGGGTGAAACTCTGGTAACATGTCAAGCAAGGAAGGATCCTCCGCTATAATGTCTATCAGTAACTCTGCTGTAGTTGCATCAAATGAGATAGTCTTCCCAGTCATTTCCTTTAAGAAAGCCTTTATTTCACTAATTTTGTTACTTCTGAGATATCCTCGCATAATGATATTGTAAGTTACATTGTCTGGCGAACATCCATCGTCCTCCATTTTTCTAAGTATATCTTTAGCTTCATCTAACAACCCTTCTAGACAAAATCCATTAATCATTGTAGTGTACATTACTACGTCGGGATGTAAACCTACTACAGAAAGCTTCTCAAAAATGACACGAGCTTTGTTGAACTTTCCATTTTTGAACAATCCATCAATGACAATACCGTAAAGTTCAATGCCAGTGTCTTCTCCATTGCTTTCCAGCTTATGAAAGAGTGACATAGCTTCTTCAACAAGTCCATTCTTAAAATAACCACCAAGCAAGATGCGATGAGTACAAAAATCAGGTCTTTGCCCTGCCGATATCATATCAGCAAAGAAATTTTGTGCAACGTCGATTCTCCCAACTTCAAACAGACCTTGCAAAATAGTATTGTAGGTAATAATACTAGGTTCCAACCCTTTTCGAGAAATTTCAAGAAACATTTGCATGGCCTCATCCAATTTTTTCTTCTTACAGTATCCATTTATTAGTATGTTATAGGTAATAATGTCGGGCAAAACGGTCTTATCTGTCACGGAATTAAAAAAAATTCTGGCTCTATCCATTTGACCACACAAGCAATATCCATCTATTATTGTATTGTATGTGAATAAACTAGGCTCTACACCTTTTTCGATCATGTGTCTCATTATTTTCTCGGCGTCTGCAGCTTTTCCTTCTTTGCAAAGTCCATCGATCATTACGTTGAAGATGTACAGACTTGGATAAATATTAAGATTAACCATCTCACATAACAAATTCCTAACATTTTCCCATTGACCAGACCTACACAAACCATCAATCAATGAATTATATGAGACGATGTCTGTAAGAATGCCTTTTTGTTTCATCTCATTCAAAAGGTTAATAGCATCATCTAGCATTCTATCTTTGCAAAGGGCATGTATAACAATGTTATAGATGCATGTGTCGGGCTTAGTGCTCCCTTGTTCCATTAATCGGAGCAAACTAAAAGCTTTTTGTGTATGGCCCTTTTTGCAAAGCCCATCCATGACAATTGCATACATGAATTTGTTAGGCTCACAAATATTCTCCCTCACCACCTTTCTAAATAAGTCAACGGCGTCTTTAAGCTTATTTTCAGCAAATAGTCCCCTTATTAGGCTGCTAAATGTAACAACATCAAATGCAATACCATTCTTCAAGAAAATGACCAATACAGAAAATCCTAAATCAGCACGATGCATGAGGCAATAACTGTTAGTCACTATATTCAAGATGAATTCATTAGTTGGAATACCTAATTTCTGCATTTCTCCAAAGAGAGAAACAACATCAGAGTAATATTTCATATTTACCATAGTCCTCAACAATTTCGAGAAGCTGATAAGAGAGGGAAGAGGTTGCTCTCTGACCATTTGGCGGAACGCACTCACAGCGTCATTTAAACACTTGACATTCTCAAAACTACTAGAAACCCCAAGTCTACCCTTAATCGAAATGGACGTATTGCTAGGAGATGAAGAATAATCTCTAGGCGCAATTGCGAAAGTAGAATGAGCAATCTCAGCATTGCAATGAGAAAAAGCCAAGAATGAGATGAAGGTATTACCGTTGCGAAGGTAACGAATTGCAACTCTCGCCATCTTCACTTCACTTCAATGGCTACAGTCTCTCCAGTTTCTGCCAAAGGAAATACGGGCAGCCCACTCTTAATTTGCCCTAACTTTGGAGTAGCAAAGAAACAAAAGTGATGCGTTTCCCACTCTCTTGCAATAAGATGATAGTTTTCTTAAGCAAGTAGTTGCACTACATTTTTCTAATGTTACTAATTTTATTTATATTTATCATTTTAAGTAATTAAATAGTATAAAATTTCTTTAATTTACAGTGTAGATATTAAACTTTTTTTTCCATATACTATTAAAAATATATCTTTACCATCCAAAGTATATCGACCAAATTCAAAAAGCGACCAAGTCGAATGAAATAAGCAATAATAATAATAATAATTTAAGAAAATTTGATCGTTTTTAGTGCACTTTACTTTTAGTATAGAAAATACGATGTAAAATGGATATCAAATGTGATTTAATGCGGCTTATTAGAATATTCGTATGATTTACAAATTGCAATTGTGATGTTTTGTACTTCAATGCCACACAAGAACCGGGGTGATTTGTGTAGTATTCAATTTTCGTGTGCACAGATTATAGAAAGACCTGGTTCTTCTATGTGTTTCTTATACTACTGTTGCGAAAATAATAAATGCGGAAAGTAAATAACATAAGTATTTTTACGTGGAAAACACCCCGCTCAAGAAAAACCACGACCTACTACTCAGTAGGATTTTCCCCAACACTTAACTAAATCACTAAGTTAAAACAGCATTTACAAAAACTCTTTGTAAACCTAAGGATTACCTCTAATTTCGTTGTGGCAATCAGCCTCTAACTGTTGCGACAACTTCAAGTTAACTTTAACTTAAATACTAAGAGTACCTAATACAATTACTTCTACATAAAGCTGAAAGGTACAATTTGAAAAACACCTACTACAATGAAACTAGAATAAAAGATAGGCACTTGGATCTGGTTCATGTAGCTTTAGGTTCGCACACTTCAATCACACAAGAATTGCTTGCAAAATGCCTTGCTATTTTGCTCCCAACCCACGTTTAACTTCAGCTTTTGTGCGTACCTGTAAAATGATAAGATCTTGCAATTTATAGAGTTTGTAGAATAGGAAATAACTAGAGTTCCAATACTATACTATTCTTTGGTGGAAGAGTTTTAGTTATCTTCAACTTCTAACTCCTCCCTTATCTAGGATAGAGTTCTCTCCGAGTAAGGACTAAAAAGTCCTTCTCCTTATTATTTATGCAACCTTTTCGATCAGGAGATATCAGATATAACAACTTAAGCTTATCTCCTTCACGTGCATCTCTTATGCTCGAGTCTGTTGTGTTTGTGTACATTATGTATGGACCTGGTTCATGATTGAGTTCCTTTGTCAATCATCAAAACAAACTTCACATGGACCAACAAATTCCCTTTTTTTTATGATGACAAACTCTGTGTTTTTCATTAGCATAAGCTCTGTTCAACTCAGCTTAACATCAACACAAGGTTAGAGTACTTTTCATTTTTAAAGTCATTAATCATCAAGGACCAAGTTCATTAGGTTATAAACATCACAGTCCAAAGTAAAAGCACAACCATCTTTCCCTTTTGGTATCATCAAAAAGTTATATAATTATGTTTGATAACAAGATGTTAATAGAAATTACTCATGGCCACTAGGGCTACTTCAAATGCAATCATGGAGTCAAGCATCATTTATCAATCTAATAATATTATCCATCTAAGAAGCATCAACAAACAGTTAGAGCACAAAAACAGTTGATTATTGATACTTAGCCATCCACAAAGCATAAAGAGAAATAAAAATACTGGATCATGAGCAAAAGAAACAAAAAAAATCCCATCCGGGTCACTAGTTGGTCTAACTAGGCTAGGAAGTCTTAAGGCTGAGAAGGACCAGGTTCTTGGTTCTTGGCTTGAAGCAGTTTCAGCATATCCTGAAGAATGTCATCATTCTTCTCCTTCTCCTTTGCCAGATCAGCTCTGAGAGCACCTATCTCAGTCTCCACTTCTGCCAACCTTTTTTTTAGCCTTTCAATTTGAGCATCCTTATCCCTACTTTCCTGCACCAAAGCTCGTATTTTGCTGTTCACATGTACCTTTTTTCATCAACTAGGTTCTTTGGGAGTGGTGTGGACTTTATATTCACAAGTAGTTAGACTATTTTCCCCAAAGTGATTCTTTTTTACACCAACTTCCCATTTCTCGATGGGTACATTTAAGTGTGCAAGTATAGCTATGAGAATAAAACCATAAGGTATGGCATGAGTTTTGGGGCCAGTATCACGACCCTAAACCCGGACCCGATCGTGATGGCGCCTCTCGTGAAGACAAGGCCAGCCGCCACTTTTCCATTTCAGTTTTAAGCAGTTAAACAATAAGATTTGAGTCTAAAGCATAATAAATAATCCAAAAGTAAGCAGTGAACATTACATTTTGCAGAAATAAAACCCAACACAGCCCGATATCGGGGTGTCACTAGTCATGAGCATCTATCAATGCACTACAAGTCTGAAATGTCTACCAAGCTATTACAGAATAACTGAGAAAGAGAAAGAAATGAGATAAAGGGGGAGAAGCACAGGACTGCGGACGCCAAGCAGCTACCTCGTGAACTCCGAAATCTGCCGAGAGCTCTCAACCCTCGCTAGCAGGATCAGCAATGCCTGAATCTGCACACGGGATGCAAAGAGTAAAGTGAGTACTCCAACTCAGTGAGTAATAATCATAAATAAAGTCTGAAAGCAAAAAATCACGCAAGGCACATTATAGGCTATACGGAAGCAGTAAAAGCCAGTAAAAACAGTGAAACAGTGATAATGTGTAAAGTCATTTTAGTTCAGTTCAAACTTTATGAAATGACTTTTTAACTATTAAGCAGGTAAGTGACAGACAATAAGATAGATAATCACATAAAAGATTGCTCCTCGGGCACAATGTCAACAATACCAGCCCCTCAGGCTATATCTCATATCATAATGGGTACCCGCGCTCACTGGGGGTGTGCGGACTCCTGGAGGGGCCCCTTTCGGCCCAAGTGCAATATCCTTGTGGCATCATCACTAGGCCCTCAGCCTCATATCAACAAGCCACATCGTGAAGTACAAATCTCAGGCCCTCGACCTTACTCAATTAGAATCTCACAAGCCACTCGGGCAACAGTAAAACATGATGCTCAGCCCAGAATATTATTTAAAATATCATCTAAGTGTTAAAATAGAGTAAAAAACATGGCTAAGTTATGAAAACAGTAGAATATAGCATGACTGAGTTCAAGTATAAAGTCAAACAGTGAGAAAATATCAATAAAAATCCCCTAAGGGTTCAAATAGTTGGCACGACGCCCAGATATAACATTCAGCCCAAAACATGATGACAGAAAATAGTTTTCAGTCAAATACGCGGTAAAACAATCACTCAGGATGGACTAAGTCACAATTCCCAACAGTGCATGACCCCACGCTCGTCATCTAGTGTGTGCGTCACCTCAATATGCACAACGATGTGTAATCCGAGGTTTCATACCCTCAGAACATCATTTACAATCATTACTCACCTCAATCCGGTCAAATCTCTAGCCCGTGATGCCTTTGCCCCTCGAATCGGCCTCCACTCGCGTCGAATCTATCCAAAATCAGAATCACGACATTAAAATATGCTAAGGGAACGAAGCCCAAGCGAAAATAATCAATTTATAGTATAAATCCCGAAATTACCAAAAACCGACCCCCGGGCCCACATCTCGGAATTCGATAAAATTTACATCAATAGGTTCCTTATCTCCCCACAATTTCATACATATCAAAAGTACCAAAATCCGACCACAAATGATCCCTCAAATCCTCAAGTCTAGGTCTCCAATACCAAGCCCTAGTTTCCCCAATTTTAACCCTTAAATTCCATTAACTATAGCTCTAATCCGTGAAATAATACCATAGGAACGAGTTTTAGGTCCAAAATCCTTACCTTAATGAAGTTCCCTTGAAATCCTTCTTCAAAATCGTCCAAAAAGCTCCAAAGCCGACTTAGAAAAGGTGGAATAGGTCAAAAAACGCGAAGGAAACAATTTATATGTTCTGACTCAGGGATTTCGCATCTGCGGCCCAATTCCCGCTTCTACGATCAATGAACCACTTCTGCGGTTCCCACTTAAGTCCCAACTTTTTGCATATGCGATGCCTTTTCCCGCACCTACGCCATCGCTTCTGCGGCTCCGCAACCTCTTCTAGGCCTCCAGCCTTCCCAGGCTCCTTTACGCTTATGCGGCCTTCTTCCTCGCATTTGCGGCATCGCACCTGCGGTCCCCAATCTGCAGGTGCGGAAACACCAAAAGCAGAAAATCTGCAACTTCACCAAAAATTCTAAACTCTCTATCAACCATCCGAAATCACCCTGAGGCCCCCGGGACCTCAACCAAAAGCACAAACATATCCCAAAACCTTATTCAAACTTATACAAATCTTCAAAACACTTCAAACAACATCGAATCAACCAAAACACATCGGATTCAAGACTAAGTTTTCAAAATCTTCCGAATTCCGCTTTTGATCAAAAACCCAACCAAACCAAGTTCGAATGACCTGAAATTTTGCACACACATCCAAATGACACAACGAAACTACTGCAACTCTCGGAATTTCATTTCGACCCCTATATCAAAATCTCACCCGTATCAACCGGAAAATGCCAAAAATCCAATTTCGCCAATTCAAGCCTAAACCTACTCCGAACCTCCAAAATTCATTCCGATCATGCTCCTAAGTCCCAAATCACCTCCCGAAGATATCCGAACCATCAGAACTCACATCCAAGCCCTCTAACACATAAGTCAACATCCGGTTAACTTTTCCAACTTAAGCTTCCTCAAAAGAGACTAAGTGTCTCAAAGCTTACCAAACCCTTTCCGAACCCGAGCCAACCAAACCGATCACATATAGAACCGATAGACAAAGCAATAAAAAGCAGATATGGGGGAAATAGAGCGGTAACTCATGAGACGACTGACCGGGTCATCATATCCTCCCCAACTGAAATAAACATACGTCCTTGAACGAGTCAAGAAACATACCTGAAGCCCAAAATAGGTGAGGATATCTGCTCTGCATCTCTCGCTCGGTTTCCCAAGTAGCCTCCTCTACGGGC